CTGACACGCACAGTGTGCTCAGACCCACACGAGAACACACACGGTGTGCTCAGACCCACGCGGGACACATACAGGGTGATCAGACCCACACAGGGACACACACGGTGTGCACAGACCCACGCGGGACACACAGGGTGTGCTCAGACCACACGGTGTTCTCAGAACCACGCGGGGACACCACACACGCCAATGCACCTGAAGATACTTCAAAAGCACCTGGAAAATGGAATGAAAAGATTAATTTAGGGCATAGTGGGTAAAGCTGCCGGCTGTAGTGCCGCCATCCCACATGGGCACCGGTTTGAGTCCTGGCTGCTCGACTTCTAATCCCACTCTCTGCTATGGCCTGGGAAAGCAGTAGAAGACGGCCCAAGTCTTTGGGCCCATGCACCTGCGTGGGAGACCCGGAAGAAGCTCCTGGCTTTGGATCAGCCCAGGTCTGGTTGTTGTGGCCATTTGGGGAGTGAACCAACGGAAGAGAGGAAGATCTCTCTCTCTCTCTCTCTCTCTCTCTCTTCTTCCCTCTCTGTCTGTAACTCCACCTCTCAAATAAATAAATCTTTAAAAAAGAAAAGAATTTCATGGAACACGCATTTGATCAAAGAAACCGTGCAGGAACCTCAAAGTTGTTTTTGTGCCAAGTAGACTTGTCGATTAGTTGCGTTCTAGACTTCCGGAGCCCTCACGCATGGCTGTGACGGCCTGCTGGTGGCTGCCGGGTGCTGACACATGGACGCCACAGGGACTCTGGTTCCCAACACCGAACACCCCAGCTGCCTCCACGCTCTGCAGCCCCGTGTCCCTCCACCAGGGGGCGCTTTGTCAGAAGTGCGCCTCTCGGAGGGAGTCTAAGGTGGACTCACACCTGACACCGGCCTCCCGCAAGCCTGGGCTGGGTGACCCGTGGCCGCTGTCAGCCACCTCACCCGGGGGGCAGTTGTGTCCCTCTAGACCCCAGGCCTCTGTGAGCTCCACGAGAAGGGGGGGGCACCTTGGCAGATGCCGCCGGCCGGTGACAGAAACCTGGTCAGACACGCAGGACTCGGGTGCGTGAGGTGTTGTGAGGTGTGTGTGGTGCATGGTGTGTGATGTGGCGTCTGGAGTGTAGTGTGTGTGTATGCGATGTGTGTGTGGTGTGTATAGTGCGTGGTATGTGATATGTGTATGGTGTGTGTAGTGTGTATATATGCGATGTGTGTGTGGCATGTATATGTGGTATGTGATGTGTGTGGTGTGTATATGTGGTGTGTGTGTGTATGCAATGTGTGTGTGGTGTGTATAGTGTGTGGTATGTGGTATGTGTGTAGTGTGTGTATGCGATGTGTGTGTGGCGTGTATATGTGGTATGTGGTGTGTGTGCTGTGTATAGTGTGTGGTATGTGTATGGATGGTATATGTGCTGTGTGTGCCGTGTGTGTGTGTGTGTGTGTCCCGTTGGCTGTGTTTCTCTGGAGGACCCGCACACACACCACCTGACCCCTGAGATTCTAGTCCAGGGTCACTGGGTCCCAAGGCCCCGCCCGTATCCCTGCCACCCGC